GGCGATGCGCCCGTCTGGCTGCCCACCGCCCCCGCGTCCCCGCGCGTCCCGGACCCGCTGGCACTGGCATCGCTGTGACAATCGCTCCTTCGCTTCCGGCAGCTGCACGGTCAATGCTACGATCACAGCGGAGACCCTGAGATGCGGGTCACAGCCATGCTGGAGCTGGGAACCCCCCTGGAGATGATTCAGCTCCTGCAGACCCCCTGGGAGGAGAGATTTAAAGTAAGAAAACAAAGCAAAGGGAGTTTTATCAGTCGCTTTTAGACCGCGAACTGGGTAAATGGGAAAGGCCCCTGGTGACTGCTGGGGCAAACGGGACTGTCGTGCTGACGCTGTTTGCTCCCGCAAATTGTCCGTAAATTATTTTGCTTTCACTCCTTTTAAATCACATGAAAATAGCCTTCGCCTGGCATCTCGCTGTTACATAGGTATCCTTTCTCTCTAAAGTGTTGTTAAGAGGGCTGCATCTGAGAGGAAATGACCGGAAAATCTTGCTCCGGACTGGGGTGGTGTTTATACCCCGTATTACAGTGTATTTCTAGTTTCCCCTCTGAATGGTTCCACTCCACAGAGGGACTTCCCTCAGCTCCTCAGCAGGCTGGGCTGACTCAGGAAAGCCACGTCGCTGCACTGTGAGTCCGTTGTTTTCTGTGCATTATCTCTTTTAGGCAGCAAGCTGGGCAGCCTGGCTCTCACCATGTGTTTGGATGATGTTTCTGATCTTAGCCCTCTAGGTATTGCTGTGTTACAAACACTGCTCAATCGCTTTCCTCCTGCTGTAGGTGCTAGGATCTGCCTTGTCCGCTAAGCATCCCGCATAGGGACTCTTCAACTCCCCACGAACATAAATGACTTCTGACATGTCACTTATTTTGGTTGTAGCTTGTGTAACAGTTTGCCTCAAGGTCTCAGTTGGGGATTCACTACTACTTGTTTGGTTCCCAGGAGGAAAGAGGATCCAGTAGAAGCATGGGTACCTTAACGTGAATAAGAAATGCTTTGGGCAAGATAGAAACACAACAGAATTCCCAAAATAAAATCCCTGCCTGCGTGCAGTCTACGCTGTCGAAAAGCAGCCTTGCCAAACAAGCCAGAGGGAGAGCGTGGCAACCGTGCTCATCGAGCTGCGGGATGTGAAGCTGGGATTCTTGTGATTGCTTCACTAATCAAGTTAAAATAGCCTCAGAGCTTCCAGAGTAATTTCTCTTAGCCTGTGGGGTTCCACTTTTGCTTACAGACTGTTTTATACTGGGTTCTACATAGCTTTCCCAGTACCTCATCTTCTCCAATGTGCCAGTGTCTCTGTAGAGCTAGAAACCCATGGTGCTGGTGGCGAGGTCTGGTACAGTGGCATTAAGATTTTCTTAATCTTTTGACTGATGAAGACACTAATTCATGATTTACGCTGGCACTGTCTAGTCCTGTTCCTAATTAGGGTGTCTAAACGGATGGGATTCCCCTCTGATGAGCCACATCAGATACCAGTGATTGTGTGAGCTGTTCCAAGTGAACAAACCCTCGCGCCTGCCCAGATCGCTGTCGAGGCAGCGAGGGCTGGCGCGGCCCTGCCTGGCACACCTGCCTGACGGTACATTCCTCTGGTGCCAGGGCTCCCGAGACCGAATGAAAACTGCTGCAAAAAGCTACTTGAACAAAGTGCTGGTTCAGTATAAATGCACTTTCTAGCTCTAGTTTGTTAAAAGATAATTTACCAAGCTTGCGGCTGGATCAGGTATTGTCTGACCTTTTCCTGCTGCCAGAAACTTGACATAAAAGCAAAAAAGCTGGCAATAAATCCATTGCATGCTTTGGCTAATTCTTCAGAAGCATGATTGTATGCCCAAATTCATACTGCTGAGTGATGCAGCAAGGCATGAATCTGGTATTAATGACCATGGAGCCTCAGTCTGTATGGAGCAGCATGGGGGAAGGGAGGGGAATGTATTAATTCTATGCCAGAGTGGGGAAAAAACTGTTCTGATTTCAGCTAGCAAATCAATATAGCTCCTGAAACATGAAGGCTGCTATTGTTTTCCTCACAGCTTTCTCCTCTAGTTCCTCTAACTGCAAATGTCTCTTTTTGTATATGCACATTTTAAAAAAATGTTGCTAAACTACTTAACCAGTCAAATCCTGTGGCAGTGTTGATAATAAATTTTGTAGCATACCTATAATTACCTTCCAAGTACTATATGCTTTTTTTTTTCCTTTAATTTCATTGAATGCCCTCCCCTTTGTTCTACTTCCAATTTAATAGCTGGTTTTCATCTGTTTTTCCCATGCATATTCATCTTCTCTTTCTCAGATTTGCCTGAGTCTTGTGAAACTGCTGTTTTACTTGGCACATTCCCCCCTGGGTTCAGTAGTTCTCTTGGATTTCCAGCCGAGACAGTTTGTTATGGTGGATGGAAACCTAAAAGTGACAGACATGGATGATGCCAGCACTGAGGAACTGTCATGCAAGGAAGATAATGACTGTACACTCGACTTTCCTACGAAAAGCTTCCCTCTCAAATGCTCTGCAGTTGGGAAATGTGAAGGAATAAATGAAAAGAAGAATCTTTTCAATGCATATCGGTATGTCCAGCGAGATGGGGGGAAAATCTGGGGTGGTTGAGCTCCCACACTCCCGCGTAGTTTCTAGCATGTCGTGTTGCTTCCATGCAGTGATTCCCCCTCGCCTCTGTCAAAGGGTGGTTAAGGATCGCTTTGAAGCAAGTTTATTTTCCTTATAAGGCAGGAAAATAGAGTAGTTGTCTGGTGAGAATGAAGGCATCTTCTTCTGCTGCTCCCTTTTCCCAACCCTCTCTAGAAACTTGCCCCAAAGGTTGCACCTGTGAGTGTACTGTTTGCCAAACAAACTCTGGCGCTTGACATCCATGGGCTGTGTTTGCTGTAAGCAGTGGCAGCACAGGCTACTTGCCAGAGCCCACCAGCTTTGAGCCCCCGTTGTTGGGAACAGGCTGGCTAACTCTTCCCTTGTACTCCGAGTCTCCCTGTGGAGGCAATGGTAAGGGGCTGAGACTGCTGCAGTACTTCATGTGAGCCACCATCTGAAGGCACAATGATTTCCGCTCATGGTTGATGCAGAATCAGAGAATCACAGAATTGCCTAGATTGGAAAAGACCTTTAAGATCACTGGGTCGAATCATTAACCCAACACTGACAAGTCTCCATCTAAACCATGTCCCCCGAGCACTATGTCTACGTGACTCTTAAATACCTCCAGGGATGGGGACTCCACCACTGACCTGGGCAACTTGTTCCAATGTCTGAGAACCTTTTCAGGAAAGAAATTCTTCCTAATATCCAATCTAAACTTCCCTTGGTGCAACTTGAGGCCATTTCCTCTCGTCCTATCACCTGTTACTTGATTGAACAGATCGACCCCTACCTCTCTACACCCTCCTTTCAGGTAGTTGTAGAGAGTGAGAAGGTCTCCCTTGAGCCTCCTTTTCTCCAGGCTAAACAATGCTTGGTAGGTCATGTACTGGTAGAAGTCTTGGCAGCAGAAGGACTTAGTAAGGGAGCCTGGATTTGCAAGACTCGGTGTTCAAGGTCAAATCCCTGCTTAGATTATTGCAGCCTTAAAGTAACGCACTTGTCTTTTGTAGAACAGGAGTTCTAGAAGGTTCAGGTAATGAGTAGTCCTGCTTTTCCATGGGTAATAAAAATGCCAGACCTTTTCAAGGCAAGGGAGAGGTCTTGCGTGAGTCTTCTTTCATATAGGTCTTGTTTTGATGGGAAGTGCACTGCTTAGTGCACAAACATGGCCCTGGGGAATGAGGGACAGCTCCGTTGTGTGAGGCTTTACAAGGCAGATTTCACGGAGCGCTTGGCTGATTGCTGTGCTGCAAGGACCAGGCTTTCAGCCCATCTCACAGGAACGGTCTGTGAGATGCCAGTGAAGTGCTCGAACATAACGTAATAACCAAAGCAGACTTACTAGTTGCATATGGATAATTGAGTCACGGGAAAATATAAACAAGTTAATCACTAGGGAAATTAAGCAACTGTCTTCTAATCAGTCTGTGGGATTTTTTTCAGGTATTTTTTCACCTATCTTTTACCACACTCTGCACCACCGGCTCTGCGGCCCTTTCTGAGCGATATTCTGAATGCAACAGGTACCAGCTAATATTCATACACTTCTTTACTAGAAGTCTCTAAATGGTATTTCATGGAATTATTCATCTTTGTAATCTTTTCCTTTAAATGTAGGTGATTTACGATACGGAATAAATGAAACCCTGAAAGCTTTTGAAAAAGTTTTACATCTGTACAAGTCTGGGCTCTATCTGCAGAAAAGACCTCTTCTTTTAAAAGGTATGTGGTTTGGAATGCTGTAAGCAACATAACTACTGAGGGAGCAAGGAACTTGGTAACTGGAAAAATTCTGATCTCCCACACCTTCAGACAGTGTAGAGTCACTAGGAAAAGCACCAAAAGTATCTTCGAGCAGCTTTTTGTTGTTTTTTCATGGAACCATGCACGATTGCATTATTTTCCAAAGTAAATGCAGTGCAGACAATCTGGCCTACATATGAACATATGTTTGCACTGCTTCTAAACAGTCTTCTCATAATGTGCATCCGTGTTTCAAGTGAATGTATTTGGGATTGGTTAAGCAATGAGACCAGAGTAGCAAACTGAGTATCTCGTACTCTCTTTGGGGTCATTTTGTCCTATGGACCAATAGGCCAATTTTCTTGGCTGATATTGAAACTTCCCATTTCACTTGGTGGCTTCTGACTTCTGAGCACAGGTTATTATGGGAATGTAGAGTGGGGAGGTGACAACACTGAGATGAGTGTGGCAGAGTAGCTGGGGCCTTGGTGCCTTCTAAATTTATTTTTTCTGAAGAACATCCTATTGGACCTGTGGATGGATAAATGAGCCTTGATGAGGTGCATTGCTCTGAAAAGGACCTGTTCAGTGGTGGAGATGAAGCTAATCAAAAGGAAGGCTGCAAAAGTCCAGTGGTTACTGAGGCATACATTTTCCTGAGAGTTCACTTGAGCTGGTGGGTTAGTGATGGTGGCTTGCAGAAGGAAATCTCTTTCTGTGTGAAAGAACTGGAATTTGCAGCATTATGAGCAAAGATATCTGGTCATTTGCACTGAAGGACCAGCAGCTTTAACAGGAATTGCTAGTATTTTCCAGCAACACCTACCTGTTGGCTTCACAACTGCCCCCATACCAATATGCCAAAATTATCACCATCCTAGAGGTGTGGGAAGGTGGGGAGAGACTCTTAGCAGTCAATGAACAATAGCCTGAACATCACCTGCTCATGCTTGTCAGGTATTTTTGTATCCCACCAGAGCAGGGTCTGGGGTTCCTAAACCCTCTCTATCTGTGGATGGCACCGTGATGGGTGGGTCAGCACTTGCCCCACATAGGTTGGTGTTGGATCTGTGATGAGCTGGTTCTGCTGTTGAAGCTGAGGTGTTGAGAGGCTGTTGTGAGGTTGGCTTCTCTAGAGAAGCGGAGGGTCTGTGGTTCTGCACAGCAGCCTCCCCCTCTCACCCACCCCTGCAGTTACTCCCTTGTCCCTTCACCCTCAAGAACTCTCTTATATTCATGGGGGAATTGCTGTCCTGTGCTCCACAGGAGAACCAAAAGTCAGGATTTGGGTTTGTTTTAACTTTGCAGCGCCACCCACTCCATCTAAGCAGGTCAGTTCGATCTGTCACTGTCACATTTCCTCTAAGAGTTTCACAGATGTGCAGCATGCTAACTGGATAGTGTAACTAGTCTGTGGAAGTGCACTCAAAGAGTTTTCCTAAACATCCTCTTTTTGTTCCCAGACTACATATCCCTGAAGGGCTTCCGAACCACAGAAGGAGAAGACTACAAGTGCTGGCCCTCCTACAGCCACCTGGGGTGCCTGCTCTCCGTTCACAGCGCCGAGGAGGCCGCTGCAATTTGTCACTCCCAATCGCAGTGTCAGAGTTTTATCATCACCCAGCAGAGGACGTGGACAGGTGAGTTTGGGCAGATGTGATGGGACACTGTCACATGGTGCCCTGTTTCCTCAGTCGAGAGTTGGGATGATGCTGCTGCTGTCCTCCATAGTGCCTTGAGTCTATGGGCGTGTGTAAAAGCTTCCTTCCTTATTCTCAAGATCAGATGTCTGCCACAGTGGGCATCCAAGGATCCCCTGAGATCCTCGTGTAAGGAGACACAAGAGAAATTATATTCTCCTTCTGCAGCTTCTTTCCTATTCAAATTTTGCCCAGGACTGCTAGGTGTTGTTAAACAGTTACTTATTTCATGCAGAGATGGCTTCACTGTGGTGTTAGGCTAAACAATTCCTGTGTTATGTATAGTTTGCAAAAAGCTGTGGGCTTTTTTGAGATGAAAGAAGCTATATAGAGGAAGGTGGTTACTATTGTTATAATTAAAAGAATCATAGCTTACAAGTTGTTATCCCTTTTATCAAAACTAAAGCCCCAAACCAATGGATTTCCCAAATGTCCCTGTAATTAACTCTGATTATAGCCTCTTACGGTTAGTATGTTTTCAGAATTATTATAAATTACCTCATTTAGCTGACACTTCAATCGTGGGCTAAATTGTTACTTATAAAGTGAAACACTAAAGGAGGTAAATGAGTGTTTTCACTAATGATGGTGCTGAAGAATTACATCTTGTCAACTCAAGTGACATTTAAAAAAACCCTAAAAAAACCAAAACTACCAAAACTGGAGCTTTTCCGTGGGTTCGTGTGCACTTGGCATGTGGCTAACTAGTGCCATAAGAACACTTACACTGATGCAACATAAATCTCTTTGAGCTGGTTTCACACCAGCGATGGATTGTGCGAGTTGTGCCTAACACGTCACATCTGGCTTCCTCACGGGGCTGTTGGTTGCTGTGTTTGGTGCCTGGCTGTAAGGAACCCTGCTGAAAACAGCAGAGGGGATGCAGAAGAACAAGCACAAGGGACAGAGGACCCTTTCTGCAGCACCTGGCTCAGATGCTGGTCCCTGCCATCCTGCACCATCCCTGTGGTCTCTTAACATTTCCCTTCCCGACATTTTTCTTCCTCACATTTTTACAGCTCATCTTTGCAGCCAAAGATGCCCAAAAGCCTGTGGCTGACATGCCGAGTGTCTAACTTTGCCTGTTGGATTAATGAGAGCTGTGAGAACACATTAGTCCCTCTTAAGGCAGCTTGGTAAAGCAAAACAAGACATAAAAGCCTCTTGAGCCCGATGGTGCATTCCTTGTGCATGCTTGGTGAGCGTCTGGAGTTTGCTGGGAGTGTAAAACCCATCTGTGGCAGGGTGGAGTGACCCTCTGCTGAGCAAGCAGTGTGTTCCTGTGTCTTTTGCAATAAATAGCATGGGTCAAGGTGAACCTATCATCTCCTCTATTAAACTTGCATTTTTATTTCCTTTCCAGGACGCCCACTCGCCTCGTTTCATAGTCGGCCGACTGATTTAATACCGGATGCTAATGCTGTGGTCTATATTAAACGATCGGCTTCCTCAGGGGAAAGACTTTAAAGACAATGAGATGACATAATATGATCCTGGGAGGAACAAACCACTGGGGAGAATTCCATCTGCTGAAAAGAATGACATATTTTATTTTGCTTTGGGATGGGATCTCCTTGCCAGCTCAGATAGAGTCAAGTGCTGCTGTCTCCTTGATCAAAGCTCAGATTTCCCAATGCAGCCCCGCTAGCTTCTTTATCTGTTCCCACACTGCTGTTCCGCATAAATGCTCCCAGTTTTAGTTAAATGTCACTAGACTGTGCAATACCTAGCCTTGCTGCTTCAGTAACCAGCTTGTCAGCCAAGAAATAGAAATAGCTGCAGGGATCTGGCTTGGGTAGGCTTAGTTAGTTCAGTCACCTCCCAAAACCTACGAATAATGCACCTTGGAGAAGGCAACGGCTCCTTCTGCAGCTGCCAACCAGGATTTCATACCACTGCAAATGTAAAGGACTGGATTTCAGCAATGGGGCTGAGGTTGCAGGGCTGGGATCCATAACCAGAGGTTGATGATGGGGGTGGTCTTCCAAGGAGGGTCCTTATTCAGTTCCTTCCAGGGTATGGGAGGGAGGTGGTGTATATGTCAACTCTGGAACCAAATGTCTGAATGTTTGGGTGCAGGATTTGGGTTTGACCCCATGCGATTTGTAATACTAGCTCCCATGTATCAACCTTGAAGGTTTTTCTCTGTTACTTTCCGTGAAAGAGCAAGACATTAAAATTATTTATGTGTAAGGCATTACTCTGTATGATAAAGAATGACTATGTTTATTCTAAGCATGCTGTGAAAAGTTTTTCTCTTTGTCTACATCTTTACTGTAACCAAATGAACAAACGCAAGTGTTTCCCACCTTCAGCTCACCTAGCATCATCACCCACTCCTGAGGACAACCTGTGAGTGCTCTGAGCAGTGTAGGAATGTGCCTGAGCCCCTTGGACACTTAAGGTCGTGGAGGATGCTCTTTGGCTGTGCTTGCAGGCTCACAGGTGTAGAAGAGACAGTCTGATCCCAAGAGCCTCCTGCATCTGCCCTTCACTAAAATTGTAGATGTGGCCCCTGAAAAATAGATGGGGGTTAGTATAGTTTCAGGCTGTAAGAGATGGCAATGTAATGTGCCACTCCTGGGAGTGCCTGGAAGCAGTGACCATACGGGGTACCTCTTCTGTTGCACAGTCAGGGAAAGCCCAAATCACCGCTGACCTCACCCCCTGCAAGGGATGCTCTGTGGCCACATGCAGAAGAGCCACGCTGCAGCCTCTGTGTGATGCCACGTCGAGTTTTCCACTTAGTCCAGGCTGCTGGGTGGAAATGACAGCTCTTGGGACCTTGCCATTGACTCCTTGTAGCTTATGACAGTGTGGCTGTTTCCATGTGGACTGCTCTAGCAGCAGGGGTACCCCTGACTAAAGATGCCTGAGTTCTTTCTTGCCTGGGGTCGTGCTGTGTTTTTCATGATCTGGTCCTGTGTTTTCTAGTGCAGGATGTCACCTTTCAGCTCATTAGAACTCTGTTAACCCACAGCAATGCCATTGGTGAGGGCTTTCTCATGCGCTATAACCCCTGCTGCTTACGCTGAGGCTCGGGTGCTCTGATAGTGATATCAATTAATGAGAATTCCTAGTTAGCACAACAAGAAGCCTCTTCTTAGTGATGGCCACGTTGCTGCGGGCTTTGTGAAAGCAAAGCTTTTTAAATGGACAGCCACAGACCACTCTCTCCATTACAGTGAGTTCTGTGGAGGCTGAAGGAAAGGTCCTGCCAGGGGTCCACTATTGTTTTACATCGACCCCACTGAGCAGGGCTTCAGGCATCTGCTGTGTGGTGCTTTACATTAGCAAGAGGTAATGAGAGTTTATTCCATATCTCTCTGCCTCCTGAGATACAAATCATCCGTACATTCCCCAAAGCAAGGGCAAGGGCAAGGGCCAGCCCAGGGTCATTCCAGAGAGGAAGAAACAGAGAGAGAATGCAAAAGTTGAAGTCATTCCAGTTTGTGCTTTAAAGATAAATCTCTTCTGGTTAAAACTTTGTGTGTTTTAGTCATGTGAAGCTGCTTTCATGTTGCTGATTTTTCCATGCAGTTTTCATTGTATGATTGCTTGCCAGACAGTCGGGTCCAGCCCCTCGGCAGATGGTGCAGGGTTTGGCAGTGTCACTTGCATAAATGTAGGGTCCAGCATCAAAGCTACAGTTACAGCCTGGGAGCAGAGGCCATATCATCCTGCCTTGAAAGTTTTGAGCACATGGTGCTTGACAAATAATAATAATTAAAAAATTAATAAAAAGGGAAGTCAGGCTTCAAAGAATCCCAATGCTTGGTCTGCTGTTGCCACAGTGAGTGGCTTTTGTAGGACGTTTAGTCCACCCCCTGCAAATGAATAGGTGCATTTGTAGAGCCTGGTCTCCCCTGAGCACATTCGTCATGCGGGCACAGACAAAAAGCTAGGGCACAGGCATACATCCGTGTTCAAGTCTGTTCACGTGCTAGAGAAAGCTGCAAATATGCTTGTAAAAGTGTATGCACTTTCTCCTCACACCTCTGTGCGGGTCCCCATGGCACATAACACCCAGTGGGCTCACAAGCTTCAGTCTGATTTGGGGTGACATCCCACTGCAGTCCAATGGTGCCCAATGAGGGTTGGGTGAGGCACAGGGAGGGAGAATATTTTATTGCCTCACTGCATCTAGAGCTATAGCTTGACATGTGTTTGAGGAAACACAGTTACTGGAAAAAGCGGTACCCACCCTGCTTTTTCCCAGCTTCTTGCCGTTATCACCTGCTAAGAAACCTTTTCCAGTGGCCATGCCTGTTTAAAAGCATGTGAAATTAATTCTCTGCTGGCCTGCAGTGGGCAGCTTGTGACCCCGAAGCTTCAAGCAGCCTGTGAGTGGCCTGGGTACAGCCTCTGCGCCAGGTCTGTGCAGAGCACCAGGGCTGCTGGTAATCTGAAGGGAAGGCTATGGCAGCAAGCCTCTGCCAACAGCTTTTGGGCCCAGGTGGCTGTTTTGTAGTGCACTAGCTTTATGTTCCACCTCGCTCGGTCAGTCTTTATTCACTCTGTCCTTTTATTAAATTATAACTGCCTCAAGCAGCTTTAGACTTTCAATGCCAATGAAAATTTCAGTGGAGACCTAAAAATTGTATTTCAGTAACTATGGTACCTGCAAAACCCAGAGGTAAACATTTGTTGCCCTTAAAACTCCCAGTTGCTGGAGTCAGTTTGTCTCTGCTATCACTGGTCAGTATTTCAGCCACCATTGTGGAATATGGAACAGAGGAAAGTGCTTGGAAGGAAACAGCGGGGGATCGATTGCAATAGAAACCACGTGTGCTGGAGAAACAATATTTACCTAAATGTGGCTATCACATCTTCCCAAAGGATGCTGCCATTAGGAGAGAATGGATATGAAAATGTTGCCTCCATAGATAAAAGTTAGGAATATCATTTGTTTTAAACACAAACGTTAATATTCTTAATTAATTCCATACTGTAATAACAGAGATAAAACCACATCCATGGAGGATAATACCATGTACTCCAAAGAGATAAACCACAGCTTAATGAATAGCAAGAGATGCCGTATGACTCATGCTCAGTATGTTTGCGCAGGCGCTTACATGACTGGTGACTTCATGATGGATTGAGGAGCAGAGCGAGGGGGACAGAGCTGAATAACGAAAAAGCAACTCCTGGTGCATCAGAAAAGGGTCAGATAACAATGGAAGTCGTACATGTATTCTTACCTGACATGTTTTGCAAACTTCAGTGATGCTCCAAACAGCACTCAAATAGCTGAACTTTCAAGTCGGTTTGGAGCATTGGATAAAATCAGGAATTTATCACAGGCAGCTCTAGACCCAGATTGCACGTGGGTTAACATTCATTTCTGTAAGGTCTCCTATAAATTCAGGCACTGATCTTTGTGGCTAGAAGTCAGAGCACTTTGGTCCTACTGAGCTGAAAGTGCTGGTTTGGGGTTCAGTTTGAGGAATTAGTGAGGCATAACCACAATATTCAGAATAGCTCATCACGATGGCTTGGTAGGACTGTGTTCAATTTTGGGTCCCTCACTACAAAAACAGACATCAGGTGCTGGAGCATGTCCAGAGAAGGGCAACGAAGCTGGTGAAGGGTCTGGAGAACAAGCACTACAAGGAGCTGAGAGAACTGGGGTTGTTTAGCCTGGAGAAAAGGAGGCTGAGGGGAGACCTTATTGCTCTCCACAAGTACCTGAAAGGAGGGTGTAGCGAGGTGGGAGTTGGTCTTCCAAGTAACAAGTGGTAGGACAACAGGAAACAGACTCAGGTTGCACCAGGAGAGGTTTAGATTGCATGTTAAGAAAAATTCGTTCACTGAAAGAGTTGTCAGGCATTGGAACAGCTGCCCAGGGAAGTGGTTGAGTCACCATCCCTGGAGGTATTTACAAGACACACAGATGTGGCACTTAGGACCATGGTTTAGTGGTGGACTTGGCAGTGTTAGGTTTATGGTTGGACTCAATGATCTTAAAGGTCTTTTCCAATCTAAATGATTCTATTATTCCCCTCCTAATTATAGCACTTGCAGCAATCTTTCTGCGTGGTTCCACTGTCCTAGTGCACCAAAGTGCCATCAACAGCAGTGTGGAGTTTGCAGTGGTGAAGGAGAATTCAAAGAAGATAATTTTCTATGAGAGGCAAGCATGAGCGCCCCTGTCTCCACTGTAGCATGTGCTTCATCCAGGATGGTGGATTTGCCCTGAATGATAGTTCTTGGCTCCTGGGAAAATGTATCAGATATTACATCAAACAGGTCTGGGTGCACCAAGGAGGGGTGATAGCTGGAGGGAACAGCTGCCAAACTCCTCTGCTTGAAATTCAGCTCCTGACTCTGTGTGAGAGCTCCAGGCAACAGCTTGTGCCTTGGAGCCTTTCTAACCTCAGCATTCCTGGCTGGACAACTCAGATGGCAAAATGCTGTGTTTACTGGTAGGGGAGACTTCTGAACATAGCTTTGGAGGTTGAGAT